TTATTTTGTGCAGTCAGGAATAATTTGTCCCTATGGTGACTGTAAGCTGGACATTTCATTACAAAATGTTGCTACAAAATTATATTTTAGTCAAACACAAGCATGTACCAAAAATAGACTGAGATGTACACAAATCAGTTCATTCATGTACAGAATCACTAATTTGCATTAGAACTTATGGAAATGTATTTTTCTCTTGCAATTTTGTGATCATTTTGTTTTGCAATTCACACTTGTCTAGTTCTTTAATTTACGCAAGATCCTCATACATGTATCTTATCAGACCCTTGCATAGGATCACTTTAAATCCTTGATATGTATATACTTACAACATGTATATGCATGTTACTCTCAAGAAGGGACAGTGTTTCCCCTTCTATTTAAAAATCAGAAGAAAAAACTTATGAACCTCAGTTCTCCTCTTCTTTTGTTTCGTTTCGTTTCATTTCTTTGTCGCCTTATAACTTGAAAACCATTGCCTATGAACTTCTGGAACATTGGAGACTACAAGAACTTGTGCACCTACATTGTAACTTTCAGAATTTTGATTGGTTGACTGGTCTTGCAGCCATCTTGGATTTAAAGTGAACAGGAAGTGGCTTTTTTTAACTCGTTCTTGGGGTTTAGGCATTCTGAATTTTTTGTAGTAGCATTATTGATGGCCTTCCAATTTTATGAATTGGCATTAGCAGTCACATGAATTTTTCTGCCATGTTTTTTTTTTATGAAAAAAGGCTAACAAATCAGAACCACTGAACACTGTCACATCAAACTGAAAGTTATTTTGTAGCATTTATGTATAATGCTCATTAAAATTAGCAAAGCTTTTTGTGATTGGTGATTGGTTTGTCTGCCGTCTTTGATTTTTTCTAAACAGTAATTTTTTTTACAGATGCCACATTTATCCCATTATTTAGAATTTTGCTATGTTGCATCTTTATTTTGAATTCCTTTTGACAGCAAAGAAATAATTTGGATTATTCGCATGATTTTGACACCATTTGAAGTTTTGCAAAAAATGACAACAATTTGGGGCATTGGTTTTTCTCACGAGTGCTTCAACTGATCAACTTGATATTTTGCCTGTACCATTTATGGTTAAAGGATACGAGTAATACAATTTTGATCAGTCACATGGTATGGCCACCATCTTGGATTTTAGACAAAAATGGCCACAATTTGGAGCATTTCTGTCTCATGAATGATTTAGCCTGATCAATTTGCTATTTTGTATGTAGCATGTATGGCCAAAGCATCTTCCGAGAAAATATATTTCAGTGGGTACATATTAAGGCATATTCAGCTTTTAAACTTGATTAGTTTAGTTTTTTTTTTCTTGTTTTTCTTGTTTTTTTTGACAAATGTTTATTAGATTATTTCTATCACAATCATTCAGAAACACAACTATTTTTTTTCCAATGCCGTTTTTCCTTACCTTTTGCTCAGTCCACAAACTTTATATCTGCAATGTGCTTCTTGTGTGGAAAATGTATTTTCCCAGGTTTAGCCACAAGGGCACATGCAATGTTAACACAGCTCAAAGAATTTGTACATTCAGTAAATTAGATACATTCTCATCATTAGTTCTTTTTTTTAGAATTACAGGTATCTGTAACAAGATTTGTCTATTTGATAAAATCACACTCGTACATTTACTACAGCTTTCACTGAACCTACCAATCAGATTTGTAATTGCATTTGTGTTGCCGAACACTCCCATTTGTTGATTTATTATGCTAGTAGCATACTTTTTGAATAGACTGGATCAGCCACGGTAATGTTGTATCTTATTAGATCAGTTCTTTAAAGCTATGACCTCAATAACGTGGATACCCTCGGTAATCATAGAAGTTAAGCAGCAAGTTTTATATTACCCCAGTGCAACGTTTAAAATGTTTGATGAAAATATGTACTGTGAGCACGATGGATAAGCAATAAATGGCCAACCCGAAGGAATCGGGAGTGATGTGAAAACATTAATTGCACAATCTGAAGGAATCAATTCGCGATGTACCGGGTAGGTTAAAAATGCCCAACCCAAGTCTTGTAAATGTTTGTTGTGATAGTGATAAATAAACACAAATGCAAAAACTGTATAAATTAAAAAGAGGAAATTATATATAAAATGTAAATGCATGAACACGTATTTACCTAAAGTAATATGTCATACACAAAACATGAATGTACTGGTCATATTTGTATGTATGTATGTATTTATTTATTTTATGTTTATTCATTTATTTATTCATTTATTCATTCATTTTTTTTATTTAACACTTTATTTAAAGAGGGTAGTCCAAAATACAATTTGGTAATTTTCATTAGGTCCTTTGTAGAGGCAAAATAGTTTTAGTACTTGCAACATTCATCAGTGTGCATAATGTTAGTGCATTACGGAACAGTCCAACCATTTAGCTAGCTTTATATTGGCTTAAGATATCTTAGCTTGCTATGAAAATAACCATATACATGTACTATATAAATTGTGTACAATAATCTTCCTAAACATGTCTCATATTATTAACTTATGCACGTAAAATCTGTACTAGAAGCTGCATCGATACACATTCGCACACATTCTTTTTGAACAATTGAGACCCGAAAATTCACCATTTCTCATACATGTAGATTTTCTAATAGAAGCCACATCCCCTCTGTTTCATAATTGTACCATTTTAATAGAAGCCACGGCGTCTAATACATATTTTACAGTACAAGGCACGAGTTTTAATTGTTGATGATATTCACTATAAAAAAGTTTTTTTTGAAAAGGCAAAGCCAGCCGATAGCCAACTTGAAAGTTAAGTTATGCTTGGACTGTAATGTAAATACAGTACATAATGTTATTGTACTTGTGTGCTCATGAGCTGGGAATGAATGCTAAAGAATGTCTCCCACACCATAAATGGTTGCCAAGTTTTTCTGTTTACATTTATGACTTGGAAGGTGTGTGTTTTCTACCTGGCCTAATAGTTTCTGGTTAGAACACATGGCGTCTGACTTCTAGTCATAGTCTGTGCATTTGTAATTGAAAAAATTTCTTTCTTGTTTCCAGGAGATCCATGTACAATTTCATCACAAGAAGAGTTGAATGAGGCTATCAGATTATACGATATTAACAAAGATTCTGACATAACCATACATAGTAAGTGAACTCAGAATACCCACTGTTATTACATAACATTAGAAAGTTCTACTTGTATCTCCAGTCTTGTTGCCACAGTTTCCAATATTATTACTCAGTGTATTTCTGTCTATGTCAATTCTATCTGTCTCCCTACATCTGTCTTCTTTGACCTGTGTAACAAACTGATTGGCATGAAATCTTGTTATTCATTGGACAGTAAGCAGGTCAGTTCTGCTGGATTCCCTAGTGTTCTCAGTAGATTACTAAACACTAAATCATTTCTAAATGTGATCCTGTCTTGCTTCACCTATTTTCCATCAATCTGAACCATTTAGACTTGTTCGTATGACATCTGCAGTAAACCAATATAATTTCTGTGTCATGCTGTATGTTTGTCACCATATACGTCATCAGATGTTGGACATACATGTATCAGTCTTTTTTTGTGTGTGTAATAATCACAACAATAATGTTTGGAAGTCAGTCTTGTTTTATTTGAGATACAATTTTGCAGAATCTGTAGACTAGATTTTGGTGCAAATTTTGCTACAGTGTAAGCACAAGTTGATGAACATATGCACTGAGAACTGTCTTTGGAGAAGTTTGAAAATGAGGACTTGTATTATGTACCTGTGCATGCATGCATCCATCCATCCACACCTGTATCTCAGACATGCCTGAACCAATTATGTTCAAACTTCACACACATGATCTAATTAAAGATGGATGAGTGCTGGTCATTTTAATATTTAAAGGTGCATCGAAATAAAGCATTTCTGCCATTTGGAACTGGATCTCGGTCATGCATGGACATGAAATTCAACTAGCTACATACATTGAACATGATGGAATCATGATGCATATAATTTTGTTTTCCAATAATGAATGCCATTGCATATCTGTGACCTGCCCTGACTCATTGCAATCAAACTTTACACCTGCATTATTAATGTACATGTTATCTTCTCTGTGTAATTGTGTGGTGCATTCAATTCTTCCGGTTACATCTTTAAAATACTTTGACCAATGTTACACATTTGATTATTATTGTAATAATGTCAGCTGTCAATTATGGCAGCTTCTGTAAAAATGCTTACTTTACCATAAGGTCAGCTATATCAACTGTCAAATATTGTGTTATTATTATTTGAGAACACTTTCAAGGATAGATCATTTCCAATTCTTATAAGCTTGCAATATGGAAGTCATGAGATATGCAAATGAGCTACATGTATGATACAAGTTTGCAATATGCAAGTCATGTGATATGCAAATGAGCTAATACAAGCTTGCAATATGCAAGTCATGTGATATGCAAATGAGCTAATACAAGCTTGCAATGTGCAAGTCATGTGATATGCAAATAAGGTAATACAAGCTTGAAAACCAATTTATGTGTATGCTTGAACAAAACTTCATTTCTAGTTTCATGCATTTATAAATACATAATGACATTTAATGTATTAATGTTCATTTTGTTTTAATACACGAAATAAAAATTATTTAATAAAATGAACCACATTATACTGGTAATGCATTGCTCTAAAAGAGTAATGGCAATTGGGAAGGAAATATTAGTCCGAATGACCAATATAATGGACTTCAAATGCTCAAATAATCAGGGGGTTATACATGTACGTGTATGATCAACCACACCTTGTTTGAACACCATCTTGTACAACCATGAAAGTAAACATGTTTATTCATGCTCTGTATACTTTTCTGCATCATGTCCATTTTATTATTCATTATTCAAAAATTGGACATTGTACAAAGTTTTGTTGGTTTTCTAGATGACTAACATCTTGTAGTATAATTCATGTAATTCTCTCGGGTCACATGACTCATTGATTCTCCAGGGTGTATTAAGATAAATTTACAGTTAGACATCTGGGCTATAGTCACATTCCAATTCTTACTGAAAGAAAAGTTTGTGATTCAATGACTTATTGTAGTAAAGGCATTCACAAGGACAAAATTCATGATGGCCACTGCAACTACTCGTCTTAAGGTCGTCACCTGCACATGCGTTAGATGACCATAGGGTGTCATTGTTTACAAACAAGCGTCTACCCATGAGCCTTTGCTTTTTTTGCATGTGTTGTTATCATCGCTTGGGACTTAATTTCCATGCGTGCGCAGGTGACGACGCTCCTGCTTTGAATACCCAAACTTTCCATATTAAGAACCCCAGTGAAATGTGGTTATTCAAGTAGCTGTACTGATTATAATGACATTATTTTAGCACCAACAAGTTACATGTAATAGTATTCAAATATTCGTTCACTAACAATTTGGGTTATAATGATTAGGTACTGGTTTAATAAACTTTGGTAAAAGATTTTCTTTCAATTGAAAGAGAGTATGATATTTCATAACTGATGATCTTGGAATACACTGATTGATCTTGTAGTAAATGATCTGGTACCATGCTGGCCTCAAATAATTGTTAGTAATGCTGTCAGTGTTCCCTCTAGAGGTTTATTTTTGCGAAATCGTCTTATTATTGAGCAAGTTTCTGAAATTCAGCAATCTGAGAAATATTTAATGCATTTTCTAGTAATATACATAAATATATTAGCTACAGCATATTTTGTAACGAAGTGACAATATTTCGCATTGACCAATTTGCTTAGAAATAACATCATACATGTAACACCGATCTAGGTCTGCATCAGTTTTGCATTTAGTAACACGTTGGTTGATCCGTGGTCATTTCTGTCATTACTTGATCGAAATCTCAACGTACACGCTATTTGTGACCACAATCGTAACGTCACACCAAGGCTAGTATATTCATAGTCACACCTATCCATTTTTGGTACAACATAGTGGCCGAAAGTACACCCAAAAACGCAATTTACTGAAAAATTACCGGAGCTGTGTACAGCAGCAGGACGCGTAACGAACTAATCCCTATTGTTTAGGGTTCCATTTATAGTCTACATGTGGGTTTAAATGAATTCCAGCTGGTAATAAAATAGCATATTACCACATGAAAGTCTATAGATAACAATTGTCAACACCAGAATGAAGGTTTTAATATTGTGTTTTTTTGTTATTTCATGAAATCTCACTGAAAATACACTCATCTAAAACTTTATTGACCTGCGCCCACTATAGACTAATTTAGGAAATGACTATTCTATAAAACTGGGTGTAGACAGTATACATGTATGTCATAATAATTTGTTATCCTATCAACTGTCACTCTTCCTCACTAGTTGAATTATTTGAACTTGAATTATGGATTTAAAATGAACTGAACACGAATGTTTTCTGAATAAAGCAAGTATAAAATGGATCATGCAGGTATTAATATCGATGCAAACCCTAAAACACTTTTTTGTAAATGATCGATTTAAAAGATCAGGACAGACTTTATTATAATAACTCGACTGATGCCAAAATCAATTCACCTGTGATAATTGTAGATGAGATAATAACTAATTTGCATAATTACTTAGTACATTAATTTTTTCTTCAAATGGAGGCAATTGTTGCTATGTATTTTCTTATTCTGTGATAATACAACATGTAATTTTATCCTCACAAACATTAGTCATACAGGCGCCATATCATATGTATGCTGTCTTTTAAATACACTCATTTTTAAACGAACACTGTCATAAGAATCTGCATGTGTATATAGCAAGGGTTCACACAACAAATGTTTGTATAATAATGGGGTCCACTTTTTTGACATCTGTTAAAAGCATGTTGTGCATCTACATATTATAAAATCAAACTGTCATGTTTGGTCATAGTTGAAGGTTTTTTAATTTATAAGTATTGTAAATTTAACTGAGTAATTTTGTGCTTAGTGTACAAGCCTTGCTCCTTTAAATCATTAACAAGAGTTAATTCAACTAATAAAAGACGAAAATTTGGATCAAAATATTTGTTGCCATTGGTATTAACCCCCAAAACTGTAATTTTGTATTTTCACCTAAAAAAAAAACTCATAGGTGCAAGTATTTGTATATGTGTGAGTTAAAACAAGAAGCAGGTTCCTCCCCACCCGACCCACCCCACCCAACCCCACCCCACCAACAAACAACACCCATCCCTGTTACCTTAAGATGACTGCATTATTTCTATCTCGTATCTAATGGCCGGTGGAACAAACTGCAAAACTTGAATTTACTGAAAATACATTTTTTACTATTTCTTGCATGCAATTCATCAGTAACTTGTGAAAGTAAGATTTCATTAAAAAGAAATTACAGCAAAAATAAAGTACTTAATAGTTGAAAAACAGATAAAAAATTGATCATTTCACGCATTTCCTTTGTCTCTGTGTTGAATCATTCATGGTTATTTCCAGGTACAATTGAATCAACCTGCATGTGATTAGCAGCAAAGGTGACAGGTGTCTTATGAGTTGACCTCTGACCAGTCAAAGTGACCTTTGACATGTATAATTCATGATGGCGTCACCATTCCGGTGAGCATGTAATTGATGGTTTTGAAGTTGACTGTATTTCATCCTATAAGCACAAACTGACACAACACTAACAATCAATCATTTCGATCTAGGCAGGCATGACAATTTCAGATCTCATAGCTCATACATCGTAGTCACTCTGATATCAGGGAAATCAGCAGTCTGTATTGGAAACTGACTTCTTTCAATTTTGTTTTGGAATTTGTTTTTCATATGTGCATAATAGAGGTATGTATACATGCACCAAGAGAGACAAGGCAATGTTTTTGTTAAGGCTATGGTAATCAGCTGTGTATATGTTACCTGTGTTCCTGAACTTGTTACCTGTGTTCCTCAGATGAATGCTTATAGGCCATCACACTGTGACATCATTTGTTCACATTTTTGCCAACAAGCATGCCACCCGCATGCTAATGATCACTAGCCCACGATCTACTGTGACAATCTTGCTTATAAGTTTTTTATTCCATAATCACACTTCCCCAATGGTGATACCTCCATCCCCAGTCTTGGGAAAAAATACTAGTAACTTTATCATAGGTGTACATTAACTGAAATGTAACATTGTTAC